ATTGCTGAAAGCATATAATTGCTGGTAACTTGTGAAATCCCAGGAGGACTGGCTCAGCAGATCATTCATGAGAGACCACAACAGTCCTTCAGACCCAATGTCATAAAGCCTTTTGACTAAATGGGGCAAATCTGTTCTCCAACCCAATTGATATAATTTTAAAAGGTTTGGATACTCCTTTTGTAAAGGATTCAGTCCATTCCTGGAATCCCAAGTTGGTTCTATTGGAGGTTTGAGGGCTCCTTTTCAAATCATTAGCTGCCTGTTTATTGTCCCATCTACCAAGAAAGATAGTGTTAATAGCTATTACCTCAGCTAGGATGATAACTGAGCTGCAAGCTCTTATGTATGCTAAGAGTCAGTTAAATTTTTTACAAAGATGAGATTGTATGTCCCAAATTTCTAATGAGGGTGGTCTGGGATTTTATTTGAATCAAACTTATCTGCCAACTTTCTTTTTGGAGCCTCATCCTCAGAAAGATAGAGTGCAGCTACATATCTTGGGTATTAGAATAGAAGTAGCTTCTTGTTTGGCTGATCTAAAGGATTTCAGATTGCCTGAACTGTGTTTCATTTGCTGATGGTAACACAGTTTACCTCCCAGTGGGTCTCCTGGATTTCTAGTTGTATTGGTTTGTTAGGACCTGGGTAATGTTCCATTCCTGCACAGAGTGCTAGGGCACTACACAGTGGTTCAGATTAGGGATGTTAAACATTGGTTAATTGAATAGTTGATAAAAATTCATGGGGTTAATCAGTTAGTTGACTATTCTATAGTCCCCGGGCACCCCTGTCCGGGGGGGAGGGATCTGAGCTCCCAGACCCAGCACAAACTGGAACTGAGCCAGGCTGCCTATCCACCTTGCTCCTAATACAATTTAAATGCAGAGCTACAGCGGGGGGTAGATCCAGGACCCAGTACAAGCCAGGATTGAACTGGGCTTCTGGCCAGCCTGCTAAAAAATTTACTGGCGGGGGGAAAGGGGGACAGAGAGGAAATGTGTATAGTTTATAGCATTAACCTATAAGCTTTTGTTTATCAGTTAATCGTCTATACTATTACATCCCTAGTTCAGATGGCTTTAGCAGCTTTCTTGGGCCATGTTCTGGTTTCCAAGATTTACAGGCCTGCTTTATGTTTTTACAGGTCTCTGATTTACGTGTTTGCTGTTCTTTGTACCATCTCCCAAGTCACCATAGATTATGCTCAGTTTGGGGGAGAACTCTTCCTTTCTTGGTTTAGGTGCAAGCTATTATGCACAAACTGCTTGTGAGTCACTTTGAACTGGAACAGATGTGTGATGAATCAAAAACACATTACAGGTCTGTTCTTCATGTCCATTCAATATCCCTGTCCTTCTCCTTTTCTTCATCCCAGTTGCTAGGCACGTTGGCTTCTGATCTGGAACTGATGCAGAGCAATCCCATCCATAGGCTGCTTCCCCATACTCCTCACTTTGTGGGGCTCCAGAACAGCTACCACAACTGTCCTATGGGCAGGATCGTCCCCCATACTGGTGTGAGCCTGTGGCATTCAGCACAAATTTGGTGATTAACTGGGGCACTTGGCATTGGGCAGCTGCTGGGGTCAGACCCTCTTGCATTCATTGCAAAGATGGAAGCTGCAGAGGCCTGCTCCACTCCTCTGCCCATCTTCCAACTATTCACTCTATTTCACCAGCGTGGCAGGAAGTGGAATGCCCCGGACACAGCATTTCTGCTCCTCTCAGTACACATCTTTTGGGGATAGCAGAGCAGAGTGGGATGGGGCTGGGTTCCTCTGCTTCCCCCTGCTGCAATGAAGTAGAGTGATGTGGCTGGGACATGGGCATCAGAGCAAGCTTCTGGGTTGTTCCAATTCCTGCCCTCTGGCTCCTGTCACGCAACCCCTTCTGCTGACCCACACCAGTGCCCCCATCCAGTAATCCTCTAGGTTCTGTGGATTGTGGAAGGGGTGTAGTGAAGTCTGAGCAGGGGTGGGAAGAGGCAGGATGGGATGAAGTAGGGGTAGAGCTTAGGGACAGGTGGAAGAGTTGCCCAAGGCCCCATACCGCCTTAGGAACAGCCTTGCTGAGACTAGTCAGAGCAGTTACATCTCTTTATTCTTTAAGCAAGCAACACAAGTGAATAGAGGATGAGCATACTGTCCCAACAGCTGTCAGTGGGGAAAAGTTATTCAGTTGTGCATGGACACCTGAAGTAGAATGGACATGTAAACACCTCTCTTTGGACAAGGTGTGGACCAGGTATGTAACTATTTTTATCATCAAAATGTTGCACTAGAATGACTTCTTCTGAGCCTAGTGTATTATCACTGTCAACATGAAAAAGATTCCTTTGTTCTAACCATCAGAGTTTTCTGCAGGCCAATTCTCATCTCTGCTTGTATTAGGGACTGGTCAGTGCTCTATAAATAGGCATCTAGTCATGCATGTGGCATAATGAAGAATAACAACTCAGTCCTTTCTGCCTCTTCAAAGCATTTTCCAAATGACTGAGTCAGAAGCATAATTTCCCTCTTTGTAAAAGGAGGATAAAGAGACAGAGATGAATAACTTGTTCAGGACTATTGATCATATAAACTTAAAAATGGATGCAAAAAACCCCTTGGCTATGTCTAGACTGGCATGATTTTCCGGAAATGCTTTTAACGGAAAAGTTTTCCATTAAAAGCATTTTCAGAACACAGCGTCTAGATTGGCATGGACGCTTTTCCGCAAAAGCACTTTTTTGCGGAAAAGCGTCCATGGCCAATCTAGACGCGTTTTTCCGCAAAAAAGCCCCGATGGCCATTTTTGCGATCTGGGCTTTTTGACAGAAAACAAATCTGAGCTGTCTCCACAGGCCCTTTTGCGCAAAAGCGACTTTTGCCCGAATGGGAGCAGCATAGCATTTCCGCAAAAAGCACTGATTTCTTGCAATAGGAAGTCAGTGTTTTTGCGGAAATTCAAGTGGCCAGTGTAGACAGCTGGCAAGTTTTTCTGGAATCTTCAGTAGTTCTGGATACAAGAACTACTTCTAGCTTTGCACTTTTCAAAGGGAGTACTGAGGTTGCAAGTCCCCATGCTCACTGCCCTTTGGAAATAATCGCTGTTTATGATTCAGCAAAATGCGTGCTGTACAAACAGCAGTAGTTGCCCTGGCTGGACATAGTGAGCCTCCACTATGTATTAGATAAGTAGTTGGTGTAACTTTAGGGTTAGGAGTGGGGGGTACTGGCATAGGGCGAGGTGAGGACAGTTGACCAGTATCGGGCACAGGGTCCTGCCCCTCAGGTTGTAGCCCTAGCTGGCGGGGGGAGGAAGAAGAGGAGGCTGCTCTAAACTCTTCAATTGCCAAAAGGTTTTTTAACATAACTGTGCCTCAGCGTGGGATGAGCAGTTGCAGCCTTTCTCGAAATCTGTTGTAGTGGAATTTGCCCCTTGCCCGAAAAAGATAAGGAACTAGCCTAACAGCAATTAGGGGTCCACTAGCTTGTGAGCAAGAATGAAGCTGTATTTCACATTTTCTAACTTGTGACAGGCACAAGCAGGCAGAAATAGCTATGAGAAAGTAAAAAACCGCACATAGGCATAAGATAAGAGTACCCCTCCCCAGTTACTGGAATGTCAATCGTGAACGTTAGAAATAATGTATTGCTGTGCTTTAACCAATGAAATATAAAAGCCAATCAAACTGTTATTCATGTATCCGATAGAAGGCTATGCATAGAGCGGCACGGGGTCGCTTCTCGCTATTTTTTGCTGTAAAGCTCGAGGGGACGACCATCAGCGCTGATTAATAAAGGTCTGGTAAATCCTCCTTCGGGCATCCGTGTCATTCTGTTACACCGGTTTGAATCCGGTTCGGTTACACTGTTCCCCGCCTCCTTTTCTAGTACTAGGGCCCGTGGCTTGGACTTACAATTAAGAATCCTAACAGTGATGTCGCCAGGGCCAGTGATGGTTTTAGTCACTATGTTTCCCCCAAAAATGCAACAACTCCAGTTCTCCCCTAACGAGACAAAGACCCTGGTTGGTCCGAGCCCTCTTCTCTTGCTCCCCCTATTAACTCAGCCAGCTGCTCCCGGCTCTGGTCAGCTCCCCGGGCGGGAACTGCTGCGCTGGGGGGGCCGCCGCTAGATCCCTGCACGGGCCGTTCAGCCGCTCGCGGCCGGGCCGAGCGCAAGTAAAGGGGGGGGGGCGCAGCGGAGTTTGGTTTGTTTAGTCTCCGGGAAGACAAGGAGGCGCCCGGAGCCGCCGCGCTCCGGCTGGACCCGCACTCGCCGGCCGCCTTAGCCCGGGGCGGGGCCGAGCTGCCCCCGCTGAAAGCCGGGCCCGGGGCGGGGCGGAAGCGGAGCCCGGCAGCGCGGAGGAAGCGGCAGCGCTGGGCACGGTCGGGTCTGCCCGCGGGGAACCGTCAAACCCCGAAGGGAGCAGACGCGCGGGGGGGCCGCCCCCAACCAGGCCTCGGCACCCTGCGCAGACTGAGCCCCCGAGTAAGTCACGGGTCCCATGCTGGCGCTCCTCTGCTCCCCCCCCCCACACCTCCCCTCACACTCCTGCCCCATTCCCCTCCGCACCTGCCCGCAGTCTCCTCTGCCGCTTTACACCCTCCCCACAGGGGAACCAGAACTTGGGGCAGGGGGGGGCTGTAGCACCCCTCCCCCCCGGGCTTGCAGTGGTATCCGTCATACACAGAGCTTTGTTTTCTTCAATGGCTTTCTGCACCTCTATTCTAAAAAAACCTGTTCCAGTGCACCATCCATGCGTGCTAACACAACCTTTCACCGGCTCCTCCCTCTTCTGGCCCCTTCATGCACAGACACACACCCATACATTTCCCCTTTACCCCCCAGGCGCACATCTGCTTCTCCTTTACAACATTTCTCCACCTACCTTCACTTCTACCTGCCAGCACATGCTCAAATTTCCCTCCTCTGCTGCCTTCTGTCCATGCAAACCTTTCTCTCCCTCCTCCCTCCCCCCCCCCCATGGACATTTATTCTGAGTACTCTATAGTGCAGGTAGGGTAAGTTAAGTAAAACTTAAAGGTGTGGTTAAACATGGGCACAGCCCTGCCTTTTCTTGGTTTGTTTTTATTTACCATACTTTTTTCAAACCTCCCCCCCCCCTTTCTTTTTCCTCTCTAAGAAGGTGCTCTAGTTAGTGCCGCAACATGGGTGTCCTTAAACAAGGCAGTGCTAAGTAACATCTGCAAGGGTAGCATAAATTCAGTTGATAGGATATTCTGACACAACCAGCAAGTTTGTAAAATGTACCAACCTAAAGAAAGACTTTCATGGCCACATGTTTGAAACAGGTGCTTGATTCTGTCTAGTGAAGGGCTGGAATGTCTGGACACGTATAGTACAATACACCCAAAATCCCTCCTTGAGTCACTTCCTGTAGAGTTTATAGATAGAAAGCAGAACTAGGCTAAGAGTGTAAGAAAAGGAATAAATAGTGAGGAAGGAAGTCAGAATTACTGAGGTCTGCATGGGCAAGGTTTTTTGGGAGGCCGCACTTTTCTGTGGAGAGAGGTGCAGGGTTTGGGATGGAGGCTGGGTGTAGAAAGGAGCTCAGGGTAGGGGACTTGTCAAAGAGTTTGTGGGGCCCATTGCGGCACACTGACAGCAGGGCCTGGCACCGGTGGATGCTCTAGTTTAAGTTAATCCCAGTTGAGGAGTTAGAGTCCAGCCCGGGCAGCACAAGTCGTTCCCTAGATATATTCCACAACACCTCTAGATTTAAGAAAATTTCAATGGGTGTCTATTTCAGTCTCATCTGCCATGCTTTTACTGTTCACTATGACATCATTATACACTATGGTAAAACTTTCAATAGAAGCCACCAGAATCTATTAGTACAAACGGTCTGAGACCCCAGGCTTGTATTAGAGATCTGTTTATTTGACAGATCTTGCATCTATTAAAACCTCTGGTCAGTACTCCCGGTGTCTAACAGAGTAAAAGAATATTGAAGGTAAATATTTTCATTTTGGAGTTTATTGTACGATTTTCTGTGTCTTGAGACCATTTTCAATACAGTTGAAGGTGATTGTGTCAACTCCATGTTTCAGTGAGCTGGTGTAAGTTTACCTCGTGTGAAACCCAGAGGTCCCTCTCCCCTGTTCCTGTCTCTGATATGTTACAAGACATGGGGAGGTGGAAGGAATTCTCTTAATGGAGCAGGATTTCTCTTCCCCTCACTCTGACGAGGGCATCCCCCTAAGTAGGGATGATCCCAGACATGGAATCTCTTCTGCTTAGCCAGGGCATCCTTTCTGTGGGGCAAGCTCCCAGTGTAGGACAGGGTCTGTTGCAAGCAGGAGCTGCTGCCAGCCCCACTCCTGGGGAGGAGGTTTCATTGCGGGCTCTGTAGCTAGCTCCCTGGGAGCAGGGCTGACACGCCATGCCAGTTTTGCTCCTGAGGAGCCAGCCAGGGACAGGGACTACTGCGTCCACCACAGACAGGGGCTGCTCTGGCAGTCCCAGCGGGGCTGGAGCAGCCCCCAACCTGGGGCAGGTGGGGAGCTGCTCAATTCCCTACTGGTTAACCAGAACCTGTAAGCCTCACTCATTAAGGCTAATTCAGAGTCCCTAATTCAGAGTCTGGGAGGGAGTTGACTTACAGGCGGAGGGGTGCAGAGGGTTTGGATGATGACCTGGGGCAGGGCGTGGGGGTGCCAGAGACAGGCTCTGGCTGGGAGGTACTTTTCTTGGCAGTTCCCGGGCAGCAGTCCTGCAGGATCCCAAGGCAGACTCCCTGCTGCTCAAAACGGCTGGCTGCTCTCTGCTCCAGGTAGGGATGTAAAAGATATACCCAAACATTATCCATGTAACTCATCAAAATTCTAACAGTTACACGGTTAAACGTTTTAGGGGATGTTGGGGGAAGGGAGGGTCCTGAAGGGGGTCCCCTCCAACCCCAGGCTCTTGGGCCACCTGTTGCCAGTGTGCTCCCGGTCTCCAGCTCTGCCACCACTGCAGGCTCCTGGCTGTTGGCAGGGTCCCGAAAGCTGGCCTCCTTCCTGAGGTCCTGGCTGCCAGCCCCACCACCAACCAATTCCTAGCCATTGGCCCCATTGCCATAGGCTTTTGGTCGCCAATCCTGCCAATGAGGACTTACAACATAAGCACTGTGGATAAGGCAAATGATGAAGTCCATAATGTGCAATGGCCCATCTCACTAGAAAAGTATTTCCATAAACTGTTGATATTGTAGTGCTTTCATCTAAATTGCCTAACTAAATCTTCTTATGTTTGAAACACAGGGGGGAATTAAACCAGTTTTAATGTGCTGAAAGGTGCTATAAAAAAGCATGGAAGATAAAAGGCGAAGAGCCAGAGTACAGGGTGGCTGGGCTGGACCTGTAAAGAGCAGCTCACATTCAGGTAAGATGTTGTGTGTTTCTTTACTTGGTCTTGGTTATGTTAATTTTTGTATCCCATCTTTTAAAAATACTTTAAATTTATTTTTTCCTAATGTTTTATAGAGATATTCTAATCCTGAATGAATTTGATTTCATATGTGATCCTGCATATATCCTGTGTTTCAGATAACCCAGCTGCAATATTGGAGACAGCTGTAATGTATGCCTCATAATTTATACTATAGTTAGCTGAGTTGAGTGCCTGAGGAAATGAATTACATACAGACTTACAGCTCATCTGTGACCCAGATATTTAGTAGTATACGTGGAGCTGACAGGAAGACCTGTGGTTAGGTTGTCTAGTGTTTTGCATTAAAAGCTCCTATTTTTGCTGGCATATAGCGTTGCCACCCTGTAACCATTAAGACTGAAACATTCCATGTTTGTTCTCTGTCTCATACTGATGTATATATCTGTTTCTAAATTTCAGAAAAATTGTTCATCCATTCTGAAAAATAAGTTTGGAAGAACAGGATAGTTTTGCCAGTGTTACATTTTTCCTAGCTATTTATTTAAGGAGCTCTAGTAATTTCATGCTATTTTGAACAAAAGCTTGAAATTTGGTAAGGTAGTGGTTTTATGGTGAGAGATGGGCTTTTTTGCTACCCCTGTAGAAATTTACTGAGATTTGCAGACTTAGAAGCAAGAGAGAGTCTCCATTTGTATACGTAGGGCTTGTTATAGATTTTCTTTTTAAAATCTCTCTACATTCTGTCTGCATTGAGCCTTCTCTCGACCGTTACTGAGTCTCGTGCATATTAAGCATAGACCTAACAATCCCACCTTGTTTCAGCAGCAGCAAAATACAGTTTGGTGTAAGAGAAGATGTACAGGAGAAGATCTTCCACTGATTAGTGTCTTTCACAGTCATTATCAAGAAAATTCTTGTATTACTGTCTTAGAATTCAGGTCCCCAATAGGGTAGACTCAAGTCTACTTCAGAGCCACTTTGCCTTTTAAAATGGTGTGCGAAATCTGTGTTTGACAGTGGTCTCCTTAGGTGCTGTCCATACTCCTCTCCAGAGCCAGAAATAGAACCCAGTATGCCTGATTCACAGTATAGGTTGAACCTCTGTAGTCCAGTGCCCTAGGGACCTGACTGGTGCTGAACCAGAGAATTTGCTGAACCATGAAAGGTAACTATTGTCTAGCAGCATTACCAATGCTTGCACTGCTTATTGGGCTCCTAGAAGGTAAATTAGGGGTAAATTAGAGCTAAAAAACAGCACAGAACACTGAGAGCCAGGACAGGTGTTTATAAATAAACTTAATGGGACTGTGGGAAACTTGGCCACATCCATGATAAGTGGACATCCGACTAAATAAAATCATGCTGACCACGGATGTTGTCAGACTATAGTGTACCAGACTAGAGAGGTTCAACCTATATTCTCCTATATTCTTAGGTTTTAAAACTAAACAAAACAAAATACCACCATCACCAATTGTAGAAGTCATTCCAGTATATTGTCTCCCACTAATGGTCAACTCATATGGAGGATCGCAGCTTATGAATGAGCTGTCATTCATGCTCAAATTTGACATTTTACACTTAAGTTTGAATAAAGACTCTAATTACCTTACCCATTACAAAGATAGCGTCCCCAATTATCACCTCTAATACCATTAGCTCACAGACATTTACCTCCCCCCCCTTTTCTGTTCTGAAATTTGATTTGTTCTTTTCATATGTGTTCATTTTTTTAAATTGTATCCTTTGGTATATATGGTTGTGACAGTTTTCTTCCACTATTTGATCTGATGAAGTGGGTCTCGCCCACGAAAGCTCATCACCTATTAAACCATCTTGTTAGTCTGTAAAGTGCTACATAGTCCTGTTTTTTGTTTCAGCTTATTACCAGTTACTCTTATTGCCCAAATTGCAATGGTCTGTTCTGGGTATCCTGGGATCCAGTTTTACTGATGGCAGATAGCAAAGTGGGAGAGCTCCATATGTTTCTATGTGATAATGTGGGAGCATGTGCACTTCTGTGGACCCATTCAGACAGAAAAGTATGGGAGGTGTAATTTGATTTGTAAAAATCTACAGTATCAAAGTGACACCTCCCTTGCTGTGCTATTTTAACTTGCCCACAGAATGAGATTTTACTACATTATGCTCCCAGACTGTGACAGAATTCTCTCTGAAAATGATTGGTTTTTTTAAATGTAGAAAATTGCACACAAAAAGCTGTTAAAAGAATATTGTAAGCTCAAGAGCTCAGAAGATAGGAAATGCTGGAATTAAAGTTGTCTATACAATCTCAGTTCAGCCCCCTTACGTATAGATGTTTTGCGTGTGCAATACATACATTTCCTAAATATTTTTGAGTAGAACCATAATATTCCCTGAAGCCACTTCCCCACTCTCCTATTTTCAGCATCATAGAGAAGATGAGCTCCTTTATGGAAAACTTCTCCTACCTTTACCTTTCCTAATGTAGTCTAATGTAGTCAATGACTGTCGTGATTTTAAATGATTCACTTTTACCAGTTGGATTGAAACAATTTTTATTTAATTCATTTTCTATATTAGTTAAAAATTATCCTGTCTTCTTAGATTGTAGGGCTTTAATAATTATTTAAAACACACCTGACTATTCCCTTGCTATTTTTTTAAAACCTTGACCTAAAGGAGAAATCTTTGAAAACTGAACAGGGATTCTGTTTGTTATTCCTTACAGAAATATTGGGTTTTCCAGGTAGTGATATGTTAATTTCACTGGTTTGCTTGAGCCTGTTCTTTTCTTTGCCTTAGCTTCTGGAACTTCTGCAGCCAGGAACCTTGTATCTACGGGCACTAGTCAGACCTGGATGAGACGAGAGCAGCTTCCATCTGAAAGACAATTTGTGTTTAAAGAACCAGCAGAGGTAAAAATGTAGATAGGTGTCCTGTCATCTCATCTTTTTTGTTGATGAGTAAAAGAACCCCAGACTCCTCCTGCCCCAGTCCAGAGCCTGTACCCAAACTCCATCCCCTACCCAAACGCTCTCCCAGAGCCTTAAGCAGGTGGGAGGAAGGGACCTGTACCTGTACTAGGCGCCACCAACATTTCTGTAAGGCTGTCCCTACAAATACATGGCTATGCAGGGCACCACAACATTTGGGGCATCAAATTGCCTCAGATTTTGTGTTGCCTTGTGCAGCTGCATGCTGTGTATGGGAATGGCTCAAGCAGCTAGTCCCATCCCCTGGCTAGCTGCCCCGTGGGCTGCACCTAACAGGGCCATCCTAGGGGGTGCAGGACCACAGACCTTCTCCACTCTGCCCACACTCCACCTCAGTCCCGCCCCTGCTCTGCCTTCTGCCCTTATTAGTGGGATAGAATCATAGAATCATAGAATAATAGGACTGGAAGGGACCTCGAGAGGTCATCGAGTCCAGCCCCCCGCCCTCAAGGCAGGATCAAGCTCCGTCTACACCATCCCTGACAGATGTCTATCTAACCTGTTCTTAAATATCTCCAGAGAGGGAGATTCCACCACCTCCCTTGGCAATTTATTCCAATATTTGACCACCCTGACAGTTAGGAATTTTTTCCTAATGTCCAATCTAAACCTCCCCTGCTGCACTTTAAGCCCATTACTCCTTGTCCTGTCCTCAGAAACCAAGAGGAACAAATTTTCGCCTTCCTCCTTGTGACAAGGAGGAAGGGATGCTCACCTTTGCACTAACTGCCAGCAGTAGGGAGAAGCAGAGTGACCCAGCCCCAACAAACTTCCAGCTGTGTTGCTTTACTTACTGGTGTCGGTGAGTGCAGAGGAGATGGTCCACCCTTTCCAAGCCCTCTCCCCCAAGCGATGCTGTTGGGGAAGCAGAGTGGGCTAGGGCTGGATCACTCTGTTTCCCACCACTGCTGGTGAGTGCAGGGGCAGGCCCAATTCCAGCTGCCCCCCTCCCCACAACTCCTGCCCCCATAGTCCTCATTGTGTCTTCCCCGTCTGCTTCCTGTGGGAGGCTCTGTTAGGGCACCAAAACATCTCAGGACATCCCTGCTGCTACCCCTGATAGCAGGAGCATGTACACGGCACACAGTGAAACCAGAAGGTAGAAAGCATCCACAAACAAAAACAAAAATTAGCACTTGTTCCTTTCTGTTGCAGTGATATAGATTAAACTAATTGTGGCTTGCACATGAGACAATCATCCCAAGCTATGCAGGAGGTTTTAGACTAGTAACTCTTGCTGCCCAGTCTCTTTCTTTTTTTCTGGAGAATTGTTGTTTTGACTGGAGAATTGTTCCAGAGAGTTGCTTCTGATTTTCAGTCTGTAAAGACAGGGAAAAGGATTGTCCCGTCTCATTTGGTGACCAGTAGATATGTGGGCAAACCATTTCTCCTCTAGCTAGCCCTACCTGCTGTAATTAGCAGACGATTCCAACAAAGTACCAGCTACTGCTGGGTGTTTCAGAGTGATATTGTCAGCATTTCAAAACTGGCAGAGAATATATCTCTGTGGTGTTTAATATTTCAGTACTGAGCATCAGACAGGTGTTGAATTCCGAAGTCCATTCTCCTGGCGGCGAGGCTGGGATTGATATCCAAGCTCCTGTGAAGGCTTTAGTATCTTTTCTGCACAGCCACCATAAGACTAGAAAATCAGCCCTTTGTATTGCTGAAACATGTCAATCTATTGGTGTACTTACTTGTCTGGTTTTCTTGATTCCTGTCAGGTGGAACGCAATGCTCCAGAGCCCAGAATCATAGAGTGAGTAGAAAGCTGGTTTCCCTACCTTCACTGTGTTACTTTCACCTTCCCCCAGCCTATGGTGGGATGGACTAGATAGGTCTTCTAATTGCTATGCCTGTGTAAAGAATTTTCAATTTAGAATATAGTGTCCAGACTCCTCAATATTATATTCAGTAAAGTCCAAATCTTCTTCTTTTGTTTTAATTGCTTTATTAAGTTTGCACAAACAAGAAGGGAAGAACAGCAGGGTTTTGCAACATAAGCAGTCAGTTTTATAAAATGATTTGGATCTGTGCATAGGTGATAGGATCAACACACACAGTTTTCCCCATCCTCTTCATTATTTTGACAGGACAGTGTTGTTTCTATGATTCAGGTTTGTAACAGAGATATGATATTGGGTTAGCTGTATTGGAAGGTTTGTAAGCCAAAACTAAAGTGTGTGAGGGTGAGGGGACATATGGAGGGCAGTCACTAGACTCTTATTTCTGTTTTTTATTCAGAACAGGAGCCGAATCAAATAAACTGTTATGTATGTTTTTAATACTTTGGTCAGTGTGTTAATAGTGGACATGGAAGTGAGATCCCTAGATTTAAAACCCTTTGTTAACTTCCCAACAAAGTTAAGTTACTGTATATGTATTGTCAACCCTCCCTTGATAAGATATTTATCTGGAATGATCCCCAATTGAAACTGTTTTGGAAGTTGCAACCTGAAATCCCAAACATGTTGATGTAAGTGCAAATCTAGATTCAGTCAAAAATCAAGGCTATATCTGTCCCATATTTAGTGCCAGTAGCAGGGATGGTAGAGCAAATGCTATTTACAGTGAGGGTTGAAGTAACAATTAGTAGGTTTCAAAGTCAGATTGATAGTGGGACTGTGTATTCAAGGTCCACAGGCCATTGAGGGTCTCTTACAGTGTGACATGGAGAGCTCATTCCCAGGATGTGTTTCTTCCTTGTGTATCTTCATGTGTGATCTTTACAGACTTTGGAATGGAGATTTATTTGAGGTCAGAAGAGAGTCCTTAATGGGCAATTCCTCTGAGTTAATTTGTACAGATAACTCAAATATACTATGGCAGTCATTAAATATTTTTCAAAAGTTGTAAATACAGTATTTCCTTGTTTGGAATTTTATATCTATATTCAAGTACTAGACCAGATGGGTAATGGTTAGAAGGCTACAATCCAGGTGAGGGACCCAGGTGCCCAGCATTGATGTGGTTGGGGAAATAGTTACACTTACTGTACTCTTATTGTGGGAAGTGCTGAGAGTTTTCCATTATGATTTGCTGAGAAATCATTGCTCTAGGATGCTATTAAATAGCATTTTACTAGAGAAACTTAGAGAAGCAGAGAAAGCAGTTGTCCTTTCAGTCTATTTATTAAATCTTCACAGTTCTCATTTTGGAGTTGGTGATAGAATAATAACAAGAAAGGAAAGAAAATACAGTTGTATACAGAGAACTTAAAAAATATAAAATTTTTAGAAACGTATTGAAAGTCCACTGGCCTGTACAGAATTGCACTGATCATTTTGGATTACTGCTTTGGCAGTCCTCATAAATACCCCATGATGTGCAATCCACAGTTCATTTAATATCTCTTTTCTCACTATTATATAGGCTATCCTCTGTGGGCATGCAAATGTGCACAGTGCTATACAGTAAATAATTGTGAAGCACAAATAGGAGTTTCTGCCTCTAAGATTGTACATTTAAAGCAGGAGTGTGATGTAGTCGATAGTGCAGAACACTGAATCTGTAGCCTTGGGCAAGTCACTTTAACTCTCAGTACTTCATTTTCTCTCTTGTAAAAAGAGGATGCATACATACCTCATAGGCAGCATAATTAACAATCTACACTTTTAAATTATTGGACAGAAGTGATGTAGAAGTGCAGAGTAGACAGATAGCTTCACTTCCCAGCAATGCAGCTGGTAGCTGATAGAACAAATATTTTATCTCATGTGGCAGCTAAAATGTTGTTTTCAAATCTGTAGCTTGGTTTATATATGGCACATAGCACATCATGATTATTTATTTTGCTAGGCTAGGTAAAATGAGGACAACTGCCTTCTAACTGAAGCTCCTGACTATGGTCTCTTCAGCATGAGTCAGACAGTGTGTGTGTCTATATTATGTATTTGGAAGGGGGATAGGGCCTATTAGACTGTTTTCCTTTAGCTCCCTGCCATCCTCCCTCTCTGCTTTTCTCTGGAATCTGTAAACTCTGCAGTGAGTATTTGCCCAGAATGGAGGCTCCCATAAGCAGTGTGAGGTGAGCTGTGAGGATACAGCGTGTTGCCTCCACAACATTCCCGGCTTCTGCTGGATTCCTTCTCCCTACGTTCCACTGCCCTTAGGCCTCTTTTCTTAATGTGGATTTGCTTGTGACTGGACCATGCATAGTCATGGCATATGTTTTAAACATTTCTTGTATTTCATCCACCTGATGGCTGTTTTCTATCCATATCCTCAGTGAACAAGGTCTGTATGAGATTAGCACATCACCAACAGGAATATCTCGGTAAGTGGATTTTTTTAAAGCACCTTGGTTGTTATTGAGTAAGGAAATAGCCTGGGATTTTAGCGATGCAGAGGATGGTTCTGACAGGGATGTTGTTTCTTCCATGCTTCCTTGTGTAAGATGGTGCTAGAAAGGGGATTCTGAACCCTTGACAATGGAGTATTTAATAAAAAGTCAGGTATATGCATGGTATACATTTCCTTTTTCTTTACAATCTATACTTTTTCTGCACTAGGGTTCATTTGGTTCCTGGCTTCGTGGACTCAAAACAAGCAGACTGGATGTTTGAACAACTCCTCCAAGAGATCCCCTGGAGGCAGAGAACTCACCTCAGGCAAGGTAAATGTGTGGTAGTTCTTAATGTGTGACTCCTAGGACAAAATCCTTACTCTTGCTTTAATTTCCTATCACTTTGACTGTTAGAACTCCCTTGTCTTTTCCCTCCCAAGTCTCAGTTTTCCAGAGTCACAGACAGACGGTGTTATGGCCGAGTTATTACATATTTAAAGAGTAGGGATGTAAAATGCTGTTTTAAAAGTTAACCGGTTAAATATTATGTTTAACTGGTTACCCGGGATGTCACGGGCAGCGGGCCCTGCTGAGTAGGAACAGGTCCCTGCCTGTAGAGCATTGAGCCCAGCTGGGCCCACTGTGGGCAGAGGCGCTGTTCCATTCTAGCCAGGTAACTAGTTAACCCTTTACATCCCTACTAAAGAGGCATATTTATATCATCCTATCGTCAAACAATCCTGTGATGCCCCATTAATTTCAGATCAAAGTGAAAATTGCCCTTTGTTTGAAAAACAGGTTGTGACTGTGAAGCATGATGCTCCCCTGCTCCCAGTTTTCTGTCTAATTCTTTTCTTAGTCTCTCTGCTCTGCTGTTCTGCTCTGTCCCTTCAAACAGTCTCACTGTTGATGTTGCTGGAGTCTTCTCTGTAGTCCCTGCTATCTGGAGCTGCTCCTTTCTCTCCTCACATCATCTCTTGTTTAAAATCTCGGTTGTAAATAATTCTTTTCTGCCTTACCTTTGCTTGTTACATTTTCTTTTTTCTGCTTTCATTCTGTTTCGTGTAATTCTGTAAGCATGTTGGTTGCAATTGGTTAGACTGCAGAGCACAGCCTTATTTTAGACTGGGGCAGTTCTGTGTGCTGTAAGCATGTGAAATGCCTGTTATTCCAGTTGTGTTCACTGGGAGGCACACACTGGGAGTTATTTCTTAGCAGCTGTTGAGGGTATAATGTTGTGTGGCAGGTATAGAACAGGCCTGGAGAACCCTGGTCCTAGTTCTGCCAAGCACTCCAGTGATTCTGAACAAACTTGTTCAAAGCCTGCATTTGAGTGAGGTATATTAAAGGGAGAGCAGAACAGTAACACTTACAGATCAAACATGTGAAGTAACCACTAAGCTAATTCTGCCACAAAGTTGAAGGTACTGTAAATACTTTGATCCTGTTTTAGTATCATACCAAGTACTATGAGTGTTTGGTAAAATGTTTTAATTCAGCCCTGCTGCACACAACTTACATAGTACTTCCCTATTGCGCCATCCTTTTCAATAAACATTCCATAAAACTGATGCTAATGTTGTGAGCAGCATTTCAACATTTAAACAAACAAAGCAACTTAGGGCTACAAGTAAAGCTTTAGGTTGGCCTTACTAGCTATATCTCACCCCAGTGTGCCTACCCGTTTCAGCACAGAGGATGAGAAATTTTGTGTAGTTGTAAGACCTCTACAAAGCATGGTCCCCACACAGAGACCAATCAGAATTTCAGGCCTATTTGTGAATCTGCTTATTTCATTGAGTACCACTTAGACTCTTCAGGTTAGGGATATGAAAGGTTAACTGGTAAGCATCACTCTTACGAGGTGATGCTTACTGGTTCTGGTTAACTGGTGGGGGCTGGAGCAGCTCCCCACCTGCTGCAGGTTAGGGGCTGCTTCAGTCCCGAAGGGGGCCTAGTGTGGACTAGATGGGCTGCTCCGTCATCTGGAACAACCCCTGGGGCGGTCCCGGCCCACAGGCACTGCCCCTGCCTGTGACACACACAGACCCACCATGGACAGGTCCAGGCTAGCCAGCCTCTGCCTGTGGCAGGGGGGGCCACTGGTTAAACACCATGTATAACTGTTTAAACAATTCAACAGGCTTTTGCATCCCTACTCATGTAGGATTAAGCACTTTTTAGGGGATACCTTTTAATTTTGGGTGAGAGGGTTATTGCTTCTAGATCATCACTTGCAAAAAGCTTCTTTACAGGCTTGCAATTTCACCTCTTTGCTTCCTAACCCACTGGTATCTGATTTGTAAAGTTTTTCTATTCTTTCTTAGATCTGTCTTACAAGGAGCCCAGACTTACTTCCTGGTATGGGGAACTTCCTTACACTTACTCCAGGTTAACAATGCAGCCAAATCCTACCGTACGTATTAATATATGATGGCTTTTTCCTTGTAGATTGCAGTAATAACAATTTTTTAAAAGTCCGGTAGACGTTGCCACCATGATCGGACCGGTTTGGTGATCACCAGAGGTGAATGGTGTATATGCTTGTTGTATGGAGTTTCATTACTTGTGGATTTATTCAGACTTGCAATTGAGCACTTTGATGAAGAACCTTTCCTTTGTGGCTGGGGATTGGTAATCACCACTCCTGAGTTCTATTCAAAGTTCTGCTTTTGGGTCGCTATCTGACCTTGGACAAATCTCTTAACTTCTTTGTGTGCCTCAAAGATAATATAACATTATTGGTGATGATAATAGGTAAACTCTCTCTCTTTAAGAAACTTTCAAATAAACACATTTTGATTGTTCTTTAAGCAGAATTCAAGCATATTCTTGGTGTGTGTGTGTGTGTGTGTGTGTGTGTGTGTAATGAGATTAGCATATTAGACCTGTTCAGCAAGATCAGACTGTACCATATAATTTCCCACGCTATTTTACAAGTGTCAGAAGCCTTGCTAAGTGACTTGTTGATTTTTTTTTTTGTTCATGTTCTGTCAGCCTCTTGCCCATTTGGATAGTATCTGAACTTTGCTTTGTTTAGAATTTCCATGGCAATAGACTCCTATGTTTTAAGCCATAAATTAAAAATAACTAGTGAAAACTAGATTACATGAGAGAGTCCCTTCTGTTGAGTCCCAAATATTTTTGCTGCTGCCAGGGAAAGTTTTATGTCTGAACAAATCAGAATTTAAGGGAAATTGGATTTTGCACACAGTGCTTGAGAAAAACAATTCTTGTAGTCACGGTAATGCTCTAGGAAAGGCTATGTAATTTAAGATGGAAAAATAAAACAGCCTGTAGGTTGGGATGTGTTCAGTTGCATAGTGTTTTATTAATTTTTTTTCTAGAAAATGGAGGAGTCAGGATGGCTTTGGAGGTTAGTAATGCCATATGGAACCTTTCACCTGCAGAATGATTGTTCAAATCCAGCTCAGAATAACTTAGCAGTGAAAGGTATTACCAGTTGGTAGGGGGATGTGGCCCATATGAAATGAGTTGTTGATTTCAGTCCAGTTCAGGGTGTACATGTGCGGATCACAATTGCCATTCACTGGGCCCTATTTTGTCCTTATCATGAAAGAGGCTCATGGTTAAATTGGTCACACAGTTTGTAAGGATGAGAGGCTAGCTTAAGTCTGTCCCTTCTTGTTAGAGACGAGGCAAGGTGGTGGTTTAGTACCAAGAAAACTTGCCTACTTCTCTCTGTGATGTACTTCTACGGAAAGGCAAAGACCCTCAGTCTTCAGAACTCAGTCTGACTCTCTCTTTCTCCTTTCTTTTCCTGACTCCTTTGCAGCTGGGGATTTCACTGGTGTGAAGGAATGCCCGGTGGCATGAAGTCTGCCTAGCTCTGGCCGTCCCTGGCACTGGCAGAACAGTACCACTATTACCCATGTATCTTAAAGTAGCCTCAGTATCCAGGTCGAGGGATACATGTTATAGCATAGCTAGCCACATCTGAGTATCAGGCCCTGAATGTTTGATCGGTAGCAGAAGTATTGTGCCTTTTTTTTTTAAGAAAAAATGTGGGGATAATAAGGAACTTGAAACCCTCCCAAGTGCAATAAAGTGCTTATGGTTATATGAATCACAGTATTAGAAAAATGTTTCCTCGTGAACAGTGAAGTATTTGGTAACTTGGTTACCTTTCGTAACAAGAGGACTTTAATTATGGCTCATTTACAGTGGAGTTCTTATTGAATCATATGTTCACATTTCTACCTGATGAGGTTGCTAGAGAAAAAATTGACAGAGTGAAAACCAAAGAAATCCAGTAATGATCAAGCAGTTACTAGAAAGTGGTGCTGGTTGTTTCTCATGAGCCCGCTCCTGTTAGCTTTTCATGATCCTCACAACCTGTTATCCTGGAGAGCCAATGTTTTTTCCTTCTGGCAGTGTTAAATGTGACACTTCAGTGCAATAATATCCCTGAATTACAAGCTATTTTCGTACATAATCATTCATATGACACCTAAATATTGAGGTGGTCACTTAATTAGAAATATGTAGGCGAGATAAGAATTCTGTGATTAGGTTCCAGTGCCATGGCCAGTAGACAACCAGAGCCTCGGTGAGCATGGAAGGAGGCAATGTGGTCTTGTAATTAGAAAAGGAGACTGGGAAATGAGACTCCTGAGTTGTAGTCTGTTCTTTGCCACTGATGCACTTTGCAACCTTGTTCCTTAACCCCATGTACCTCAATGTCTCCACTCAGATAATGAGGGCAATGGTTTTGACATCTCTCACATTCAGGCTTGAAATTTGGTTACTAGCTGAAAGCACTGAGATCTTCAAATGAAAAGCATGATATAAGCATGTAAAATCATTTTAAATATCTATGACACAGAATTACTACAGACTGACTGATGGCACAGAAATATGTTAACAATACAATGGCACTAGGTCGTGGAAACAGAGCCACTTATTTGTTGAATCACTGGCTAGCATAGACTATTGGAACATTAAAATCAAAAGACAAGATGATGTGTTGGACTCATTAAGCAGTATTATTAGAGCGGGGAATGCAGGGACACAGCATGGCAATGCTATGCTAGTACTCACCATTTACTTCCAGTGAACAGCTGCAGGCTTCATGTGCCATTAATCTACAGCTTCCTGTTGCTGGGATATATTACATTTCAGTGTTCTTTAGCCACTCTCTCCGTTAACAGCCATAATGTTCACACATGGGCTGCTTAAGTGTATTCCATTCTCCCAGTTAACCAGTAGGGTTGGAAAAGCAACATTGCTATGAGAGGCTAAGAGGCTATGAGAGACAGACCGGCAGCCATGGCCTTGGGGTTGAAATAGCAATGACTCAGTGCTAACATGACCACAAAGAGTAGAAGGACTGCATTGATGCTGCACTGAGAACATGTATTAAAAGTTTAGGGGAGGAGCATGGGATAGTAGGATTCATATTTATTATGCAAAAATATTGAGGGCCTTGTACCCCTTCCAATGCCAGTAATTTTTGCGTTAGCTTCCCGTCTCTGATACTCTGAAACTTTTCCCGTTCTGTACTAGCACTTCCTCTGTTGGTCTACACCACCTCCCACTGTTCTCGCTCTGATCACTTTGCTGTATTAATTGCAGTGGCATCCTCTGCTAACCATGTTGAAAGAGCACATCAAAAAGGCCACCGGTCACACCTTCAATTCTCTGCTCTGCAATCTGTACCGGAACGAGAAGGACAGCGTTGACTGGCACAGTGATGATGAGCCATCATTAGGGAGAAACCCTGTCATTGCCTCACTCAGTTTTGGTGCCACCCGGATCTTTGAGATGAGGAAGAAGCCCCCACCTGTGAGTATGTTCTGACTTCTTCTTGTTCTCATCTTCTCAGGTCTTAGGATCTAGATAGCAGTGTGAGGTTCCCATCACTAGTAATATGTTGGAAAGCAGATACACTGTCCTTTTTTGGGGAAGCTTGCATTTCACAGTAACATGTCTCACTCAAAATTACTCCAACACACATCAAAAGCTGTATACATAAATACAGGGATCACTTCACCTTTTCTGAAATGCAGCCACTTCTGAATTGGAATGTTGTAGTTGTCTAACAATGCACAGGAACATTTCAGTACAGTGAAATTACATGTTGAGGATTCCTGCAACCATGGTAAAGATCTTCCAAGTTCACTAGAGCAGCGGTTCTCAACCTTTCTATTTCAGGAGTCTGATTTGTCTTTGTGTACCTCAAGTTTCACCTTACTTAAAAAAAATACTTGCTTACAAGAATCAAACATTAAAATACAGAAAGTGTCACAGTATGCTATTAATGAAAAAATGGTTACTTTCTCATTTTTACCATATAATTATAAAATAAATCAAATGGAATATAAATAGTGCATTTACATTTCAGTGGCTAGTATATAGAGCAGTATGTCATTGTCTGTACAAAATTTTAGTTTGTAACTTTGGTAGTGTTTTTTATATAGCACTAGGCAAATATCTAAAGGAGTTGATGTACCCCCTGGAAGATTTCTGCATAGCCTCAGAGGTATTCAAAATCCTAAATGAGAACTACTGAACTAGAGCTATGTCAGGTGTATCCTCTGCAAGAAATGGGAATATAAAATTAGAAGGGAGCTCTTACAGGATAAATACACATTTGCTGAACTACCAATTTTGTCACCAGTTCAGTAGTGCCTAATTACAAGCTATTTTCATACATAATCATTGATATGACATTGAGGTGGTTACTTAATTAGAAATCTGTAGGATAGATAAGAATGCTATGAATAAGTTCCAATTGTGGGGTAAAACACAACTCCAGTGGAGATCCAATACATAAAAGATCTATTGTCATTGACTGCCCCGTTTCTGGTACATGAGTTAGTAGTGAGAGATAGTGGACTGGGGGCGAGAAGGAGGAGAGCATTTTCTTTTCTTTCTATGGGATGCCATACTGCCACCTCAAACCTCTTAAATTAAGCAGCACCTTTTGGCCAGGGCATTACTTGGATGGGTGCCTACTTGGGCTTCCCCTGATTCTGCAGGAAGTGGTATTGATGATTAAGTAGGTAACACTCTTCCATCTGAGTCAACGCTGACCCAGTTGTATTGGGAGTGCTGTGCTTTACAGAAGGGCTGACTCATTAGTTGCAAAAATGAGGTCTTGACCATTTGTGGTCATAAAAGATTCCATGGTAAAAGTAATGGATCATTCCAGTATCCTAACCTGTCTTTGGCTTTGGGTAGTTATATTCTGCCTCCGTATTCCTCTCTGCCTGTCCTCTAACTGTTATCTGCTATTATTGTGTGATGTTAAATTGCTTCTGCATTTTGGTGGTGGGTGGAGGAGTTTTATATAATTTGCTGTCTTGGAATAAATTGATGCAGAAAGTAATGTACAAAACTACTAAATTATCCAAAGAACCTCTTCTTGTACTAAGTACAGAGGCTATTAAATGCTGCACTTTGCTAGTCTATGTGGATCATTTTGTTGCACACAAACAAGTTCACAACTGGTAAATTACATGAGTTACATTTCATACTAATTTTCCCCTCATCTCTTCCTTAGTTCAATATTTCACTGTTTCCAGAACAGAAGTGGTCCCCCACACCAGTAAACTGCATCAGTGGCTGTATTCGTGTGTACTATTCTGATGATAAAGTCCTTTGGGAACCTTTAGTTGGTGGTAGGATTAATTCCTAGATGCAGCAATATTTCTTTAGGGTCAGGGTTTAGTGAAGATTACTGAAATTCAGTGTAAACTATGAAGTTTTTCCTTAAATGTGAAAGAAGAAACCTAAATGTATATAGCCTTTGGGCATGCCTTCTATTCATTCTCTGCTTTCCAGCTTCTGGAAATTGGTTCACTGTGGGAAAAGCAGGGAATTCCACCCACTCCATACAAGTTTGACTGCTTTCTTTAACTTGATAGGACAATTTTTATATAATGAAATGTGGAGCAAAGGATAGATATATCCTTGAGGGCCCCCTCATTTCTTTCCTCAATGTCCCTGCCCCAAGCCTCCTGAATCTTAGTTTGTAAATGAAGAATGTTCCTTTGCTTTGAAACTGTGACATTCCTGGCAACATTTGTTGCTGGAAAAAATCAGAACTGTTTACATCTTAAAAGCAGATAAGTGTCTTTCTAACACCCTCTGCTTTTTTCTGTTCCTTCTCAATATAACTGCTTATGATCTGCTGTGGAGCTTTTCTGGCATGGTGATGGTCTAGTCAGGCCAGGGATTTTGAGTGGTATAGAGGTTCTTAGAAAGGTTGGAGCCAGAATATAAACTTTGTAATAAAAGAACATTCTTCTGTCTCTCTGTTATAGTGTTTGCATCAGTGAATGCTAGAGTTAAGATTACAAAGGAGTTCTTCACAATAATTCCTTTGTTTCAGCAAGGCATAGTGTTCCACACTTGATCTCAGCTTAAACGTCAATACTTGTGGAAAATTTCAGAGAATCAGTTCAACTGACTTGTGTATGAAACAAAGACACTTTTCCAGATGTAAAAAGGCGACTTTAATTTGCATGCACGTAACTGAAAAATAGCTTGAAGGTGTAAGAGTCAACCTCTGCTAGAGAAGTAATATCAGGCCAAGTTAGGAGGAGAAAGATTTGGGAGCAGGGCTGCCGAGGAGGGGAGTTAAATAAACAATGCTGTAGGAAAGCTTTCTTTTTGTTCATTTGGGATTAAGAAGAATACCATGCATAGCATACAGCACTGTAGAATGCTGGGTCTATTCTGCCTTGATAATATGTCTTGTGTTAGAATATGTTCTTCACATGCTGATGGGAGACTTTATTGTGGGAGGCTGATGGTATTGTGTCGGTTGTGCATGTGTGGGAAAACTCTACAGAAAGCATTCACTCCATATCTCACATATTGGACTCATCCTCAAAGGAATCACCTGCACAACACCTTCAAGAGGCAAGCAGGAGAATTTAGATTTCTAACTCCTAGACGTTAAGGCCTATTCTACACTACCTAGTTAGTTGACTTAAGTTACGTGGACAGCCATATGCAGCTTTAATTACATTAGTTGTGCATGTCCACACAATGTTCCTGGTGTTGGTAGTATGCATTCGCAATCAGTGCTTTTGCATCGACAGAGTGTGTGTTAAGTCACGGGTAGCTATTTCACTGTTCAACGGGCCACCCTCTGCCATTAGGAGATCTGGGGATGGATTACAGTGGATCATGGCAGTGTGTTCGCCATTCATGATGGAGTTCTTTCTGTCGTATCATTCCATGGGCTTCCAACATTTCTTCTTGCCTTTTTTGAACAGCCCCTGTAAACTGTGCCCCCACCATCTTTGCCTAAAATCATGAGTCCTGAACTGCTGAACAATCAGGTGATGAGCGTTATGAACGCAACATGGCTCGTCCTGCAGTATTTCATAAGCTAGGAAACAGAAAGTTAATGTGTGGTGCCTGACCTGCCGTGTGCAATTGAAAGAAACAATAGAAGATTGCTTCCAGCATTCATGGAGCAGCTGCACACAATGCACTGTCTGTCCTGTGCTTGGGGAAAGAAGCACTGAATAGTTGGATCACATGATGCAGATAAGGGATGACTAGCAGTAGCTGCAGAACTTTTGGGTGTCAAAACAACCATCCTTGTAAATGTCCAGGGCCATTCATTGCCTCCTGCTATGAAGGACTGTGACTCTGGTTAATGTGCAGGAAATAATTGATGGCTTTGCAGAAATGGGGATTCCCTGCCTGTAGCGGAGCAATATCCTAATTTTGGCCCTAGACCATCTTGTGACAGAGTACATCAACTAAAAGGGCTACTTCTCCATGATTTTGCAGGCACTGATGGCTCACTGGGGCCATTTTGCTGACATCTGCATGGGTTGATCAGGGAAAATTAGTGATGCATGCATTTTTAGGAACAGTGAACTTTATAGAAAGCTACACCCTGGAACTTCTTCCTGATTAGAAGATTCCAGTAGGGGATGCAGAAATGCCCGTAGTGATCCTGGGACACCCTGCCTGCTGCTTGCTTCTGCAGTTTATGAAGCCAGGAACCTAGACAGCAGCAAGGGGCACTTCAGCACAGGCCCTACAGGTACTGAACAACTATTGAATGTGTCTATGGCTGATTAAAAGATCACTGGAGCTATCTTTTTGGCAATTTAGAGCTCATTGAAGAAAATCATTCAGAATCTACCCAATGCTCATAAATCACCCACCACCACCACCACCAACAAAAATCACTGTGTACATTTCAGAAGCAAATTTCCTGTTGGGACTGTTCTGGGGATTTGACATAGCAATTAACATCACGTAAGAAACAGTTTTGTTTTCGCTTTGACTGTTTTCAAGATCTTTTAAAAATCTCTGTTAAAAGATGCCTTTTCAGTTGGTTTAGAAATGGAACAGTTTTGTGGCTTTGTGTGTGATGCTTTGTCCTCTGCCTTGAAGCATCTTTTTTTTTTCATGGCAACACAAAGACCACTTGAGAGGTGAACTAGTCACTTTTGTCTTCTAGTTGTAGATCCAATCACTTGAGGAAACCTCCCCTGTCACTGCCTTTTTTATTCTGTCGCAGTTTGTCCTTGCACAGAGCTGGCAAATGAGTATTTTGTTTTGGAACTAGTACTCAGCCTGTGATGTAAGCCAGTACATCCTTCTACAAGTTGAACCTTTCTAGTCTGACATTCTAAGGACCTCACAGGTGCTAAGCCAGAGAATTTACTGAACCACAGGAGGTCAGTATTGTCTAGTGGCTCTACCAACTCTTGCACTCCATACTGGTCTCTTAAAAGGCATTTAGGAGTAAGTTAGAGCTAAATAACTGCACAGAATGTGAGAGCCAGGTCTGGTGGCTGTAAACAGACTTTGAGATGGCAGAAACTTGGCCATGCCCATGATAAGTGGACATCTGGCTAACTAAAATCATGCTGGACCAAGAATGTTGCCAGACCAGAGAATGCCAAACTAGAGAGGTTCAGTGTGTACACGAATTCGTGTGTTCAGCTCCTTCCCCATACCAAACACATCACCTCTTCAGTCCTTGATTTTCTAGTGCTTGATTATATCTCTGGGATGCATGATTCCTGAATGTCCTGTTTGGACAGGTCTTTTTGACACATGCCTATTACTGTTGTTGTTATCACTCCGACTTCTCCTGTTGACTGAGGACTGAGTCCAAACAGATCCATTTAAGTTCTCCCTGTCATATATATCTATGAAACAGGTTAAAGGATTCCCTGAAGCGTGTTTCACTAAAGCTTTACCAAACTCCTGCCCCCTCCAAGCGGTCTTGATGCAAAGTCTTCAGTGTGCTGTAAGGATTATTCTGGTGCAGTTACTCTAACTGCAGTGTGAGCTGTGAACGGAACTACAAAAGCCAGTTGGCAGACTATTTCTCAGTCTGTAACCAAGGAAACTGATGGCTGGGGTGTGCGTGGTGTGTGCGTATGTTAGATAATTGCAGAATGTTCGTGATGTTCTGAAACATTTATATGAAAATCTTGTTTTTATAACAACCTTTGCATGAGATATTAAAAGCAAGAGCCTTCCCGTTTATCTGTGAGTGGTGTCCTGGTCGAAATGAAAGATCTCATCGTTCTCTTTGGAAAGAGCAGAAGAAATTAACCCTGACTACCAGACTGGTGTGATAACAGGAGCCTGGAACTGTCAGAGTAGAGAAAAAGAGAAAATTGATTTTTCAGGTGGGATTTGAAAGGGGATAATCTATATGGAGGAGAGATGCTGGAAATGATGTACCAGATGCCAAGAGCTGCATAGGAGAAGGCTTCTTGCACCCGTGTTGGCAAGACTGAGTTGTGGCATCTAGAAAAGGAGAGAGGAAGAGAAAAGCCCTCCTCGAAGCACGGTACTGAAGTCATGGGCTTACTAGGCATGGCTTGATAGCCAGTCTGTGAGGTTAGCTGGAGCCAGGACCAGGAAGACATTTAAAAACATATAGGTAGTTTTAATTGATCCTGAAGAGAATGGGACACCAGTGGGGTTATGTGAGGATGGGGTGATGTGCCTGAACGTGGGAGAGGGCAGACAGCAGTGCGTGCATCTGCAGAGCCAGGGAGGCTGTAGAGAGTGAAACACCATTAGTTGGGCAGAATTGCAGAGGTGATGACAGATTAACAAACTTGTGTGTAGAAGCGACGTCAAAGGTCAAGAGTGATGCCAAAACTATTGACAGTGCGGCCAAATAGGAGATCTGAGCTGAGAGTTAAAAACAGAGGAATTGAAGATGTTTGAGGGTTTCCTTTTACCAAAGGTTAGGGTTAAGGATACAATTCTGTCATGGATCCTGTGACTTTCTAAGAGGGGGTGAGCAATAGTTTTTGATGAGAGGAGCCACTCCAAGATTTTGGAATATGATTAAGGGCCGCACTTCTCTGTGGAGGGGGTGCAGGGTCTGGGACAGAGGTTGGGTGCAGAAAGAAGCTCAGGATAGGAGAATGGGGTGTAGGAGAGTGTGGCATCTGAGGGGGAGTTGAGGTGAAGTAGGGGGTGGGTGCAGAAAGAAGCTCAGGGCAGAGGATTGGGGTGCAGGAGTGAATTTTGACCTGAGGGAGGGGTGAAGGGTCTGGGAGGGAATTGTGACCTGGGATGGGATGGGTGTGCAGATGATTTGGGTGGTGATCTAGGGCAGGAGGGAGTGGTGACCTGGGGCAGGTAGCTGGGAAGTAGGAGGGGCTAGGATGCA